TGATTAATTTTGTTCTATATATATATTAGAATCTTTCTAAAGATTCTTAGATCAATCTCTCTCTTTCAATGAGCGCATTAGATCAATCAGAGCCCTACGTTGAGAGGGTGATCACACATTGAAGTATACATATGTAGCAATTACACTGAAAATTGTGTGCGCGCTCGCATTTGTGTATTATTATACAGGTTATATGCAATCTAATTCAAGTTGTAGCTAATGTCTTGATTATGTACATTGTTCGTTCACATGTTTCACAGTGGACCAAAGTTTTAAAGACGAGATGAAAGCATGGTACGTTTTGGTTAGGTTTCTAGCTACTAGCGCATATGTTAATTATTAGCTGTATATATGTAGAAGGGAACAATGGTGACTGTTTAATTGTACTCAAAAAAAAAAAAAAAACTTTCCTTGAACTGGATCCACATAACTAGCTGCAATAGGTCGCTGATAGATGAAGGAGTGAAGAATTCAGTACTCTTCCAGTCAAACTCATTTTTTATTTAGTTAGTAGATAGTTATGATTTGTCTTAAATAAAAAGAGAATAAGTGTAATTAACAGAAGGTATATGATGATGATTATATTTAGAATAAATCCAATCGCCCTAGCTAGATTGATGCCTGTAAGCTTGAAAGTTTTATTTCAATTATCAAATAATAAGCAAATTAAAGATCGTAAGGGGTAAAGTTGACAGTAGCTTTATGCTACACCTTTTTTTTTGTTCTTTATCCTAAAAAAGAACATGCTTTTTTAGGATAGTTAAACATGCTTGAGAACTCTTTTTTTCCTTTTTCTTTTTCTTTTTCTTTTTTGGATTCTCATCCTTTATCCAAAAAAAAAAAGAAAAAAAAAGAAAAAAAAGAGAGAATTTGGAAATTTTAACTACTGATCTTATGGTTCAAATCATCCTACTCTTATAGGGCTGTTTCTGATAGAATTTGCATCGGTCATCCCTCTAGCTAGGATGTGATAGTATTTGTCTCTTGCAGCTTCTCATGATTTTAGCATTCATTGAATCTATCATTCCTCTATATGCTCAGTTGGAAATATGCAGTCATAAGCTCCCTAGCTTTCCATAAAAACTTACATTATATTATCCTTCCTCTTTTACGTTCGCAAAATTTATGGGCTTCAATAAAATCATGGTATATATAACCGTTGCGCAAAAGTCTTCTGATTTGATCCCTGAGGTTATTTGCATTGCCAGTTACCTATGCACGGATTACACCTTGCATTTTTCTCATGTATCCTTGCATGTTCATCATCCCCTATGTCTTCTCAAATGTAATTATTGTACTATATAATCATTGTATATTCACTCCATCAATTGCTTTGCAACCCTCTCTCTTGCAATTATCCATCAACTGCAAGCCGGCTTGAATTAGTAATAAGCACATCCAACACAAATCATGTGATCCATTAACCAAAAATTTGTGGACATTTTATTTTTGTAACTAGAAATTCTCATTAATTTATATCCAATTTTCCATGATAATTATTATTTTTTAAATTATGACCGTTGTGGACGGATAATAGCATGCCACTAATCTAATAAATTACTTGCTATGGAAGAACTATCGTCTTCTCTTAGAGAATATTTGATTTTCTAATTTATCTATCTTTTTTTTGGTAAATGAAAATTTTTATTCATCACCAAAATGTAAAAATTATGTACATCAAGAATCTCATCTCAAATGTGAGATATCAGATATGAAGCTAGAGCTCAAACAAGCACATAGCTCAGCAAAACACTCCTCAAAGAGAAAGAAAACTCAGTTAATTAAAACATTTCACTACAGTGAAGCCTGTTAGTGAAACCTGCACAGATTATTCCATACATAAGTTGGTAGTTGCTGGAACAAAGTAACACTATTTTGTGCACCTTTTTTGCCTCCTCAATTAATACCCTCCTCAGCAAATCTACATGGAGAGAATCCATTCCCAGCATTCAGTCGACGGGGAATTCAGAATGACAGTGAGGATATCCATCTTAATGTTCTTAATTAAGGTATCAGAAGCTCTATTCTTCATTTTGAAGATTCTGTTATTTCTTTCTCTCCAAATATTATAAATTGTAGCAGCTAACACCATCCTCTTAATTTTTTGCTTGATACCTTTGCCCCTCAACCTGAAACTGTACCAATTCAAGAGGGCAAACCAATCACAAGATCTCCACTTGAAATTGAGCCATTCCATAATACCATTTCAAACATTATTTGATAATGTGCACTCAAAAAGAGGTGATTTCTGCTCTTTAAAATAGAACCATCACATAGCTTACAAACAGATGCCTGAATAATCCCATGTTTGAGTAGTCTATCTTAAGTTTGAAGTTTATCATGGACTGCCAACCATAAATTGTAAAAGATGAAATGTATAGAAAATCATACTTGTCCTCTTTCCCGACGAAGAAAGGATAGTTAACATGAGCTTTTCCCTAATATGTCATTTAAATTTTTTTTCATATCCAAAATTTAATTATTTTTTCTTTAAAGTTACATGCATAAAATTGGATAGACAAATTTCCCCATTCCTACTTAAATTAAAAGTTTCTCCGGATTAGTAAAATCATGAAATTGGTTAATGGGGATCACATTTTCAGGACAAGGCCACAACTTTATTAGGAAAGAAAGGATCAAAAACAAGAAATTCGTTATTTAATGAAAACACCAATTTAGCTTAATTTAGTCAAACACATATATAGAACACAATTTAGCATCTCAAAATAACCATATAAAAACTCTTCATTATGCAATACTTATTCTTACATCAACATAGAACACACTCTAAGAGTGAAGAACTCACTCGAAACTGAAATCATTCTCATTTAGTAGACAATTATGAGTTGTCTTGATTAAAAAGAGATCAAGTATGTATAATTAACGAAAGTATGTTGCTGATTATATGAATGAATCATAATCATCCTAGATATAAATAGACGCTTGTGATTTGAAAAGTGATCTTCCAAAGTGTAGAAAGTTAAAAATAACTTATCTAATTTTTGTTGGTGACCTCCTTCTTTTTAGCAAAGGGGACCCTTACTCGGTGAACAAGCTATATCAGTGTATTACATCATCTGGAGTATACTCTGGCTTGGAAGCAAATCCTGCAAAATGCTCAATTTTTTATGGTGGAGTATCTGAATCAGTTAAGCATTCTATCTATAACTCCTTGGGAATTTCTGAAGGTGCTTTGCCAATTAAATATCTAGGCCTCCCTCTCATTTGCAAAAGGATGTCCTACATTGATTGTAATCCTCTACTCATGAAGATATCTAGCCAATTCCAAACCAATCTGAAAAGCAAAAATCTGTCATATGCTGGTAGAATGCACATTATTAAAAGTATCATATTGGGTGTTCAAATTTTCTGGACATCTAGTTACATTCTTCCAGTTAAAGTCTTGCACAAGATTGATGGGTTATGTATGAGATTTCTATGGGGCAAAACAGAACAGGTCTTCAAAACTTCTCTTGTGTCATGGGGGGAAGTTTGTGTACAAAGGAAGTATGGAGGATTGGAGATTTTTTCGGTAAGGTTATGGAACACTACTGCTGCTTTAAAAATCCTTTGGAATATTCATATCAATAAAGAGCAATTGTGGATTAAGTGGATTCATGAGAATTATCTAAAAAATAGAAGTATATTCTGGCAGGTAAATGTTAAGAATGGTGATTTTTGGATGTGGAAACAATTGCTAAAAATCAGAGATAAAAGTTTGAGATTGTGGGGAGGGGTTGAAAATCTAAAATAACAAATCAGCTCATGTTGTATCAACTCAAAAATCCAGCTCTTTGGCCTATACTCCATTCTTTCACCAATAACAACACAAGTGGCCTGACATGATACTGTGAGAAATTGAGTTATCCAAAACATTCATTCATCTTGTAGTTAACTATCCAAGACAAGCTTCAAACATATGATAGATTACTCAAGCATGGGATTATTCACACATCCATTTGTTGTCTGTGTGATGGTACATGCTTTGAGAGCCGAAATCACCTCTTCTTTGACTGCAACTTCTCAAGTTGTGTTTAGAATGGTATTATGGAATGACTCCAATATAAGTGGAGGTCTTGTTATTAGTTTTCTCTCTTGAACTGGTACAGTTACAGGTTGAGGGGCAGAGAGTTCAAGCAAAAAAATTAAGAGGATGGCGTTATCCGCTACAGTCTACAACATTTGGAGGGAAAGAAACGCCGGCATTTTCAAGATGAAGAGTAGAATCACTGAACAATTGATCAAGAACATATAGATTGATATCCTCACTGTTATTCTTAACAACTCCCCATCGACTGAAAACAGGGGGTGGATCCTCTCTTTATAGTTCTTTTTATTGTTTTGGTTTTTTCA